CGAAGACTTTGGACACCATGCCTGCGATCTGAACTGATGGTCATTCTTACAGCTCAGGATAAACTAAAAAGACAGGCTTTATAAACTCACACTCCCGAACATGATATCCTTGGCTGCTCGGGCTGCCCCATCCCAAGGTAGTGCATCGGACGCTGCCTCCATGTGGATTGCGAACGAGGATGACAGGGTCTAGTATTGCAATTGCAATCAAGACGCACCCGAGAAGCTGCCTTGTGAGAAACGAAGCACTACTAAAAAAAACGTCCGGATCGGCTCAGATCTTTCGGGAGTACTTACGTGACGTTGCGGAGAAATCACATGCAAAGTCATTCAAGGGTGCACCAGCGCACCGTGACCGTGCTTCGTCGAGCTTGAAGGCGATGGTTGTGTTCTCGAAGCTGTTGCACCCGACGTCTGGATCGCCGGTTCAACAGCTCAAGCTCGGCCTACTGAACCCTTCATCTAGACGTCCTCTGTTCATCCTCCTCGCGTCTCTGCTAATTCTTCGTTCGAATATCTTCAAACCCTTCGCTTTCCGCTCTACCCCAACCGATACCTCATCCTCATCAACCTCCAATGCCCTTAGTCTCCCAACGCATTCACAATCTCAGCTCGCCAAAGACGTGTCTCACTTTCCTCTTCCTCCTCCCATCGCGTCCTCAGCCAATCCCACTCCAGGACTCGGCCTTCCTTTCCTACACCAGCTCCGCTCGTTATTACGCATAGTCCTCCCTTCTCTATATACTCGCGAAGCCCTTCTCCTCACCGCTCACTCTACCTTTCTTGTCCTCCGTACTGTCCTCAGTATCGCAGTCGCCCGCCTCGATGGACGCATTGTGAGGGACTTGGTCAGTGCAGATGGCAAGGGATTCATAACCGGGTTGGGCCTATGGTTCGTGCTTGCCGTCCCAAGCATATATACCAACTCTATGGTGCGCTACCCCTCTGATCTCTATCCATCTATGTAACCCTGTCCCTCAGATACGTCACCTCCAGTCCACTCTTGCCATGAGGTTCAGAACCCGCTTGACTCGTTACATACACGACCTCTACCTCTCCTCCGCCCCTCATCTCCGTTACTACCGTGTTCCCCTCCAGGGCGTCGATCAATATATCACAGCGGACGTCGACGCTTGGGCAGAGAGCGTCGCTGGCATCTAGTAAGTCCCCCGCAAAAAAGCTGAGTACTGTATTCCATGAATCAATGACATCTTCCCAGTGGAAATCTCATGAAGCCATCCCTCGACCTCCTTCTTTTCACCTCCCAGCTCGCCAAGTCTCTCGGCTTCAGGGGAACCTTACTGTTGTTCATCAACTATTATGTTACTGCCAAGGTCTGTCATCACCTTGCACCTTTCCGTTCGTTACTAATTATATTCGCGCTCTCCCTGCAAACTGTTTGAACGAACCGAACGACCGATCCTGATCCCAATCCTACGACTCAGATTCTTCGTGCGGTAACACCTTCCTTTGGGCGTCTCGCAGCTGTAGAAGCCCGCCTGGAAGGCGAGTATAGAGCTGGTGTGGGGCGCGTCGGTAGAGAGAGCGAGGAGATTGCGTGAGTGATCATTTCCCGCCACGTTTCATGGTTTCTTCTCTGTGCCTTTGGATGGTTGCCACGTCTGCACTCATTCTCCTGTCCTTGCACTTGTTTAGAGTGTACTGACGTCTCCACGTGTGTGACAGGTTCTATGACGGTGGCGCACGCGAGCGGGATATCCTCACAAGAGCGTACTTGAGGTTGATAAAACATGTGAATTCAATATACAAGGTATGTTTGGAGTTTCCCTGTGCATGTCCATTTCATACGAAACGGCATCCGCACCATTCTGCCCAAACATCATTCCCCTGTCACAAATACTCCCCCCTCCCGATCCAACTTCATAACTCTCTTTTTGAAGGCCTTGCTCTCCTTCTGAAAGCTTAAATAATACCCTTTTTCAATCTCCAGATCCGCATTGCATACGAGTGGACTGAAGACTTCGTGATCAAGTATCTCTGGTCGGCGGCTGGGTATGGGCTAATCGCTGTGCCGCTGCTCATAACCAGGAAGCGTCACCGCTCTTCTGTCGTAGACGGAGAGGAAGCAGGTACTGGACGACGAAAGCAAAAGGGTGATGCAGACGGTGTTGTTGCTGCTCGGACAGAAAGTATGTGCTCCTTCTCCATTGTTTAGGATCTTTTCGCGAGCAACGAACACTGACGAATCGGATAGCTTATATTTCCAACCGCCGTCTTCTCCTCTCCCTTGCTGATGCGGGTGGTAGACTTATGTATGCGTACAAAGATCTGCAGGAGGTTGCTGGATTAACTGGGCGGTGAGTGGTTCTAGTGTATATTCCTCGTACATCAACTGAAAGTTTGTACCTCTTTCGCCCTACTCGACGAATTCGCCTGCCTACATTACTACTAGAATCTACACCCTCCTTTCAACTCTACACAACCTCCCTCCCCTTCCAACCGCGCTCCCGGGGGATGGGGATACTTTCGCGCTCAGAGATGTCGATGTGTGCGTTCCCAGACATCCCTTAACCTCCCAGCAAGCTCAGCTCGACTCTTCGGAGACCAAACCCAATATCCAGTATCTCACCACTAACTCGGGACTGGACAGTAAGTCCAAGGAGCCCAGCGTAGATGGCCCAGACACGCTCTCAGGCCCCACCACCACCACCCTCGTCCGCGCCCTCACACTCACCCTCCGCCCGGGCATGCACCTCATGATCACAGGTTCCAACGGCGTCGGGAAAACAGCCGTAGCACGCGTGCTAGCCGGGCTCTGGGCCCCTGGGTCCAACTCAACACTCACACGTCCCACCGAAGGCGCAGACGGGCGCCCAGGGGTATTCATCATCCCACAGCGCTCGTATCACCCCACCGGATCACTCCTCTCGCAAGTCATCTATCCGCAATCTGTATCTGAGTTCACAGCGTCCGTCGAGGCGCTGGACGAGCTCGGGAGTTTACTTTATGCTGCTAGTCTTGGGTATTTGGTAGATAGGGAGGGAGGTTGGGATACAGTGAAGGAATGGCGGGATGTGTTGAGTGGAGGGGAGAAGCAGAGGGTGAGTCGTACATCCCATTTTGGTGTTGGTGCTAATTTCGTCTTGGAATACAGTTGGCCATGGCCCGTCTGTTCTACCATCGCCCCAAGTTCGCCATTCTAGACGGTGAGTCCGCCCCTCCGACCTATTGTATAACATCTGATACACTCTACAGAATGCACTTCCGCCGTGTCCTCTGACGTCGAGGGCAAAATGTACGAGCACGCCAAATCACTAGGCATCACGCTGATTACAATTTCATTACGGTATGTCATTTGTTCCATTCCTTATATATGCGTGAATAATTTGATGCTCACTGCTCACGTCATCACAGTCCCTCGCTAACAAGGTACCACACGCACCTCCTAACACTCTCGGGCGACGGCACAGGGAGCTGGACGTTCAGCCGTATCGCTAATGCACATCAAGCCCACGACGAATCCCAGGAAGCGACGAGGACTGCGGGTCATACGCTGGCAGAGGAGTCAGCAGAACACCTTGCGCGTGTGCTTGAGGAGATCCGTACTCTGGAGGTACGCATTGAGGAGTCGCATGGGTGGGAGAAGAGAGTGAGGGAACTTGGGGAGGCGTTAAAGGCGAAGTGAGGAAGAGGATGTGTGTGTGGCATAGGTTAATAGTTAGAGTTGAGTTGTTGTAATCTAGCTGGTATAGATAATGTAAAATTAAAAGATGCAAAGATTGTGACGTTACACCGGGACCGGGTTGATGTATTCGCGTACCGAGGACGTGCGCAGTCACGTGCTATCAGATATCAAGACATGATGACACTCGTCTCCGGCTCGCTTGACCTTCGCTTTGAAATTCGCAGGATCAGCCCATTTCTCAAAGCTTTGACGTTTAACTAGGGCTGCGCTCACTTATCTACCCGTCCATTTACCTACAGAGACCAAGAAAGATGGCGACCTCAATTCTCCCGTCATTATCTGTCCCCTTCAATCTTCCCTTACCTCCAAATGACAAATATCGTGGTGCAGTCGTCGAGGTGCGTATCGGAATCCTATAAATCCAAGCCTACATGGGCCAACGCAGCAAATATCACTAGGATCTCCAACTCCCGCCTGCATTCTGTCTCCCCTCCAACGAATCAGTATCTCGCGCCATGGAAGCAGCATACGATCGCGATTTCTCTCATATACCGTACGTACTACACATATACCTCCTTTCACCCAACCAAAGACTCACATCTATCCCCTCATCAGCGTGCTGAACCACGATCGGCGACCGCTCGGATACGTAGATGTAGCAGCGCTCAAAGCCAAATGGGAAGCAGGCACTGCGTCACCGGTACGTACGGAATCCCCGCCTCACGCTCATCATGTGTTACTTACGATGCGCGGCACCCCAGAACGACTCCATCAGTAAATACATGACCAAGTTCAATCGTCGCGCATCGGAGCCGTACACACTCATAACGCCATTGACGCCCCTCGCAGAACTGGCAGAGTTTTTGCAGGATAATATATTTGCGCTAGGTACGGCATTTAGATATTCTGTTATACCTTGCACTTCTGACCTTGGGGTTGTAGTGACAGACCATGGCAGGAATTTCGTGCTTGCTGTAGCAACATCGCAGGATTTAGACGTAAGTCGGGTCTCATGTCGTCTTCGTTTGGATGCGATCATGACTGATTTTGGTGTCCTCAGAATTTCGTGACGCGTAGGGGCAGTTGATCGTTCTTGACAGGATAGATGCCGTTATCGCGCTTATAATAATACTCTTGTTGTATTTTGGTTTATCTATCATCTGGAACATACAATGGGGTGCGAAGGCTAGCGAGGGCTTGGAACAATGCTGATCCTGTACAGCTGCGGTAAGTTACCCTTGAGCATGCACAACCTAGCCTACATGTTCTGCTGTTGGGATAGTAAGTTCATGAATTCTCCTACCTCGATGTATGCCCACACGTTATGAAGACTTCTACACCCGAGAGTATTATCTCGGATATGGTGTAATGGTTAACATTACCGCCTCTCAGCGGCCAGTATCTGGGTTCGCGGTAGCTCGGGGTTCGATTCCCCGTATCCGAATTGGCCGGCTCCTTTCCTTGGGGAGGATTTCGATTTTTTTTTGTCAGGAGTGGGTTTTCGTTAATCTGCTTTCTTGCAGGTTTTGACAGCCTACTATGCTACAGGTATTGGATAATATTTATGTCATGGTTAGCATTTACCGCCTCTCGATTCGCCGTATTTCAATAAGGCAGCCCTTTTGGAAGTTTCCAGCGCCTATACCCCGTCCACCGGCAAGTGTGCAGGTACTCATTGCAGACGGTCTATTGTTAATGGCCCAGCATAGGTGATCGTACAGTATTCCCTGGCTTGCACATCAGTGCTTTGTATGAAGAAAGATATGCTCACCAAGTGCTTGTGTCTCGCATTTATTCGTCTCGGAAATTCTCTCCGAGATATTCTTGCATTTCGATGGCTCGTCGCGGAAGTGTCTTGCAGCGCTAGCCAGGACATGCAAAACCTTTCATGATCCTGCAATGAATTTGCTTTGGGCTGAACTTGATGATTTAGACCCACTGCTAGGCTGTGTCACTGTCACGAACTTATTTCCAACTTTGATATATGTTCGATGTCACGGTGTCCCAAAGGTCAGTCTGGACTTGTCACACAAACTCAGTGCTCAAGCGTTGATGAGCACCTAGACACAGTAGTTCTGAGACGAGTCGGCACTACTGTCTGAGAACGAAGCCCATCAATCTCTATCTCGACTTCGCAAATCATGCATGCTACCTGTATTGTTCGACTGCCTGGTCTGCGCTTGTAATATTGCCTGCTCGCCCGCTAAGTGACCCGTATCGATACCCGCCCGCCCTCACTTCAATACCCGGGTTTAACTATTCTTTTACATATCGCAATCTTGTACAAATCGCGCAAATGCATATCCTTCATTCTCCCATCGGCCACCAACCCCTGACACTTATAGATCGGAACACATTGTTATTATGTGGTCCGTAACTAGCGCTGCCAAGTATCTGCATTTTTTTTGTTGGCGTTTTATTAGACCAGCTTGGACGATATGCCATTGTAAGGTCTCGTCACGTCACCTTCCCCACATTCCTCTGACTTCGCTTAACAGATCTAGATTGGTTCTGAGCCGACAGTAGGTCACATTGTACGCCTTGAGCGCCTCAAGCTTTTTTTTTTTGCGCAGGATTTAGAGGCGTTCTGGCATATCAATGGCGTGACTGGACGCTTCGAGTTCAAACCTAGAACAAGTCAGGCGGTGTTCATATACCAACTGTGCACCCAGCTGCCCGGCAGCCCAATTCCTAAATAGTGGTGGATATTCACTCGATAATGTGCGTTAGCACGTTGACATTGGCTTATCAGGCGCTGAGATACCATGATCTAGAGGCGAAGAAGCTACCTATATTGAATTATTAATGGTGAGTGGCAAAGGTTGTCAAGGAGTTCACCGTTATCTTCCCTTCCCTACACTCATAAAAGGCATTCTCAGGATCTCGTCCACCGCTTCCTTCCCACTGTTCTCGCCATGTTTTACATGACTAACACAGTTGACCGACGACGGTATTCGAATTATATTCTACCGTAATCCACCGTGACTGATATATTATTTTTGGCCGATTGTGCAGGAAACCACACGAAGGTATCCCGCAAGCTCGTCAATCTAAGAATCCTGGTCAACATCAGCCGATGTTGAGGTACGTGTGTCCTTCGGATAAAATACACTGCATTGAAATGGCGTGCAGTAGAGTTCCACTTCGTCGAGGTAATCCCCATGCGCAGCACCTCTCGCAATCTGCACACCCCTCTGCACACCTCTTTGGGCACCCCTTTAGGAATCCCTCTGCGCACCCCTTTGGGCATCCCTCTGCGCGCACCTCCACGCATCCCTCTGCGCATCCCTCTGCGCACCCCACCCCTCTGCAGATGCATACGCGCCCTCTGCGGAACGCTCCGATGCATACCCGCCTTCTGCGCAACGCTCCGATGCATACCCCTCTGCGCACCACCCCGATGCATACCCGCCCCCTGCACAACGCTCCGATGCATACCCCTCCTCTGCACACCGCTCCGATGCATACCCGCCCTCTGCGCAACGCTTTGATGCATGCCTCTCCTCTGCGCACCGCTCCGATGCATACCCCTCCAGTGCCATCATCCCATTCAATGCCCTCGCATATCGCGAAGAGATCGCATCTTTCCTTTAATGTATGGCCTCGCCAACGTCATTGAGCCAGGTTACATGGCAGTACTCATCTAGCGGTCTCGTTGTTGTCAGTTGTGAAGATCAGAAACCGTTTGTCGGCATTGTTGTTGGTACTATCTTTAGCACAGAGTTGCAAAACGCATCATAGCACACTCCTAACTCATTCATTTCCTTCACAAAATCGTTCTGAAAGACTACCTATGCATAGTTCATCATGTGCATTTTTTATTCCACGAAAAACAAACTAGCAATGCTTGCGGCAGCAAGCCAATCCAGTGATGACCTTGCCCGTGTCAATGTCCCACAACCTCCCCGAACCGTCATAACTCCGGCCAACTACCTTCTTCCCATCCGGGGACAATGCTATAGACCTCACTCCATTTCCTCCACCCCGCCAGACATTCGCAATCTGTTCCCCCAGAATAAAGTCACGATCTGTCGCCTGCCTGCCAGTGCCTGGCAGGTATATGGTGGCCGAGACTCTGTCATGAACGCATTCACCTGATATGATATTCGTTCGCGCAACGACTCGGATTGAACTTAATTCGAGTCTCTTCGAATTCTTTTTTCCTCTAATATCGTGCTGATCTTTTCTTTCAGTGTCTAGGTTATTGTGTTGTGTTAGAGTTGTGTCTCGATCCTGAACTATCTGACATGGAGAGCACGCGAGTGTGTCCTTCAAAATGTCTGGCAGGGCTCTGTCGCTCGTGTTTTTTTTGCGCCCCAGCGGCTGTCAAAGACACGGTTGTTACCCAGGATTGCGACTAAACCACGCAGCACTGTCTTAACTTTTGTCTTCACTGCCTTGGCCATAATTCAATGACGTCTACTGTGGTAGCTTGATAGTCAGGTGTATAGCTGACTGCGCGTCAAATGGGTCTGGTCCGAAGGTTCAGCACTTTACAGCCACTGGGTTCAACTCGAACAGGAGATATTGAAGGGAAACGTAATGTTTTAGTTAGATACACTGAGATCTCGCTCGTGTGCCCATCCGAGAAACGTTAAATGCACTGCACCACGAGTACATTGCATAGATTTCAGAAATGTGGTACTAGATGAAATATGGTACTAGAAAAACGTGATCACAAATTCTGTCACCGCCCATTCTCATGTAATCCCAATTGCCAATGCTCGGAGAAATGTTCTAATCATAGAATACCAAAGCTCTCAGCTCAATGGACTCCCGCAGGGGCGCTCCCTCTGGAGTGTTCGGGTCTTGGAACCCGGTATGAGGCGTAAGTCTCGCGACACTGCCATCTTGTATGGAGTCAAAGCTAGGACCCTTAGCACAATGAAAAGTGACCACCGAGCTAATTCACTAACCATTTGATGAGAACAAATTCTTCAGGGGTCATTGCTTTCATGTATTTCCACTTGTGGTCGGGGTTGTGCGTGACTCCGAATGTCTCACCCTCCCGGTCAGGGTATATGAGAGCGACAGGCACCAAGTCATTCTTGACGTCGACACTCCGGAAGTCACACAGAGCGAGCGGCCAATCTACAGCTGCATGCGATATAGGACGCCAAAGGTTGATGATTTGGAAGCGCCTGCGAAGGAGGGAAGGGGCTTCTTCTGGTGGGAGATGCCTATGAACACGGGCAATCGCTGACGCCGTCGTTTGGTCTACATGAGCAAGGGCGACTGGTTGGCGCTTCTGTGGGCTATCATCTCGCTCGCCTGGGCGACGACGGCGAATAGCTACGAGATGACTCATGCATCAAGAGACCGTTTAAGATTAGTGGTCAATGTACTATGATCAAAGATGACAGCGCTGCTTGCTCCCGTGACTTTCTTGATGAGATCGATGCTCTCCGGATAATATTCGTTCTGAATCTCATCATCGTCTAAGAAGCTGGTATGCTTCGCTGCCTCACGCCCAAACTGAAACCCGGCACTGTCGAGCTTGTAAAGTGCCTCCTTCCCACGTACATCCTCGATGCGCACGTCATGCGGGTCTTCGGTCCAGTTACGGCCCCGCTCCCCCGTGACGCTATCTGCGTTGATGTTG